TGAAATTAGAATTATAATTGGGAGGACCCTCCTCTCCTTTTCCCCATCCCCTTCATCCCGCTCGACATCCGGGAAAAATGGAAAATGCTTTGGAAAACTGGAAATTGGGAAGATGGTAGGTAGGATTGAGGAAGTGGGGTCGGACTAAGGAGGAAGTTTAAGGGGAAGCGTCTTATTGAAATCGCCATTTCACGCATCACGATGCGGTAAGTGAGTGTAAAAGGGAATGTGATCGCGGATCGCATCGGCTTGCGCAAGGGAGGGCTTCTTCACTTTTGGTAGTTGTTTCTTGTTTGGTGGCAAAGTGATCTCCCCAACTCGCTTATCCTTAGTCGCCGAAGGGTGATCAGACCTCTTATTGTGAGGATTTTTATGATTATGATTATGATTTATTATCGGTTAGTAAGAACAAACAGAACAACAAGTAATTGTATGACTGAGTGACCGATAAAACATGCAAAAAGGAAAAAAGGAGTGACGGGCTTGATATAGGGCATGCAGGTGGGTTTGGGAGGCCATGGCGTGAGAGCAAGCGGCCGCCAACACTGCAAGTCGCGAGCGAGCGAAGCGGCTCCGGCGGAGCGGATACCAGCTTAGTATGGGTCATCGGTAGAGATCTGGACAGGCTCCTGAGGAACGATTGAAAGCAGAGAGATATACCAAGCGATATGGCAAGCCGAGGCATCCCAGAAAATGGGTGCTTTTGCTCAGAATGAGCACGTTGTTCGGTGCGAGGAGTGGTTGGGGTAAAGAATGTTTGTATATTTTGAACAAGAACGATGAGCCCTACTTGTGGCGGCTCTGAACTCCCAATGATAACGTTGTGCAGCAACGAAAGTTGGTTTTGAGTCGTTGTCAGCCCCGTTGCAGGGATCGCTTAAATGTTACGTGGTGATTACTTCAGCATTTTATATTTTCATCAGAAGAGGTCGAAATTCTGCAATGCCCCCTGTCTAATATTGGCCGCTGAAATGTAAGTCAAAATTCTTCAGAATATCAAGAGTCCTGGCCAAAGTGGAAGGAAGTGAAAGAAAAGTTGGAGGGCGGTCGACACGTTGTGCTTCGAAGAGGCCGATTCAATCTCTCCCGAACAGCACGCTTTGCTTCGTGAAAGGCGAAATCAGTTGACCATCGACTACGACAATGTCGTTCGCGAGGTAGAAACTCTTCACGGAAGGTAAGTAGTCTCACAGAACTCCTTAGTCCCGTTGGCAACATTGCGTCCCACTGCTTCGACGCACTCTTCTGGCCGCGTGGACCAAGCGTCCATCTGCTGGACGCAGCACAAGAAATTCGATGAGAGTTTTTGAGAAACCCCCCCCCCCCCCCCCCCCCCCCCCCCCCCCCCCCCCCCCCCCCCCCCTCCGCTTATAGCAAATTTTGATTAATATGCACAGAGGTATCTAGGGTGAGCATGGTCCGCTTACATCTTTTCTTTGGTTTTTTTTATACCTTGAGTAAATAATAAGAGGTTTATCAGGCTACTAAAGTATTTTCCAGAGAAATAGGTATTATATGAATTATACAAACCTTCTAGTAACATATATAACAATTAAATTGATAAAATCTGAAATCTTTGCCAGTTTCTGGTAGCTCATTAGGTAGGCTCATTATCATCACGTGCTTACCACATGCACGTGGTTTCCCTACTACTATCACACAGTAATTATCATTGAAGCCCTTAAGGATAGCCCAGAAGTCGCAGCATTCGATATCTTTCAATAACGCTCGTGATGTCAGCGAGTTTGAGAGGGTGTTTTCAAAAACTGCTCTGTGGGACAATGCGTCCCAATGCTGGGACGCAATTCTCGACAAATGCGAGCGCGCGATGTCCCACGTGGCAGACACGCGAAAAAACGCGTTGTCGCCAATGTGTTAATGAACACAAGCCTATGTTAGAGAGTGAGCTTTGAGGAACCAAGAAGAGGCATAAGGTTTCACATTGAATTTACGCCAGTTTTTGAGCGCTTATGTAAATGCGTGCGAAGAGCAAAGTCCATAAAAGTTTCGCCCACTCCACAAGTTACGGATTTAATCACCCCAGATTATTCTTGAGCAATGGAAACGCATATAATGAGGTCCTCGTTCTCTAGCTCTAAATTCCCAAGTTGATTAAATCAGTTGCGGGCGTAGTTTATCTGGAAGGGGGGGCATTGCACTTTCGGCAATTCCCTTGTCGAAATTGCGGCTTGATTGGCGTCTAACAGGTAGGAATCTCGCGCTACTTGCAGATCACTTGGTCTTATTATTGCTTGACGTGGAAAATGGCTTTTTCCATCAAATAGAGCACTTCATAAAGCAAGCGCAGGTCAAGAAGATCTTCCCCAAGATTTGCAATGTCCACTCCCATCGAACCTTAAGTGTGCCCATTAGATTCGTAGCAAACAGAAGCACTGGGTTCATCGGTGCAAACAAATGGGTAGCGGTCCACTTTTATAGATGCTTGGGGACTGTAGGTGGGCACCCAGTGCATGATTTGTTATTCAACCTTGCAATCCTATTATTTCGGGTTGATCCTTATCTCAGCGACGCGCATACTATTGTTATAATTTCAATCAGGGTCGTGGTCTGCACTGCATCATTTCACATGTTGTTGTCGGACTATCGATTTCTGAACCCATTCTGAACCCAAGTTTCTCAGACTGAACGTCCTCGCCACTCTGTTGATCGAATTCTCTTCAAAATCCTCGTCTCTGCAATCGTGGATGACCCATCAGACTAGGGCCATTGGCTTGATTCGTGAAAGATCTGCCGAACTGCATCATCTCAGCGAGGTATTCCTATTCGTTCTTTCGTTGGCCTCAGCCATCAGGACACATCACAGCAATGTGAAAAAATTTCTGCAATCGTACGTGTGAATCCTCGGTTTTTTCCTGTTCTCTGAATATAGAGACATATACCCTCCCCCCCCCCCTCCTCGGGCAGCGTTTTCTTTTGCGTAAAAAAAGTGAAGGAGTTCTGGACCAACTTGGAAAACCAGGTGGGAATCTGGGGAGATTCAGTAAAATTGTTGGCAGGATGGGGAAGATGGTGGTATTCTGTTACAATTTTCCCTAAGGGGCAGGAGACGTCCTGCCTTCTCATCTTACCAGCTTCTGAGGTGGTTTTAGTATTATAACTGCTGCTCAGCCGAAAATTGTTGCAAGATTTTTGAGAAGGCAAAAATCAGACCCTATGCGGGATTTGAACCCGCACGGTGAGTGCGCTATCCATTACACCATCAGGACCGCTCAACAAATCCCCAAAGTTTGCCATCGGTCGAGGTGGGGGAGGGGTATGGATGGTGGTAGACATCTGCGATCAGCTGTCAGGGTTGATATTTTCACCGCGCCGCCATGTAAAACTAGGACTGGAGAATGTAGCGCTCCCGAAAAGGATAAAAATAACGATCAGGAGTTTCTCCCATGTAGAATACAACCCGGCGCTGATCGGGTTGAGGGGGTATTTCACATTTTCGCTAATCCCTTTTATCAGTCCATGTTGAATAGTAGGTTTAATCTGGCGAAGCCAGTAAACTTCTGTGGCACTGTGAAAGATGCCAGTGAACCATTTTGGTCACAGGAATGCAGGTCTTCACAAGGTGGTCTGCACAAGTGTGATTGAATAAAATCCGGTGCCCTTGCTAAGTCACAGTGCGCTCACAGCCTTCCTCCAGCACCCATGAAGTCGACCTCGCGCTGTGATTCCCACAAAAGATGATGTGTCCTGTTGGAGAACCCTGTCGTTCAAATCTGTCTTGCTTTTTACCTTTCTGTCATTACTTTTTTCTGTTGCAGGCCCGCCAAGATGCCAGACGTCTACTGGACGAAATCACACAGGAAGAAAGCCGCCTCAAAGCCATTGGGGCCATATTAGCAAAGATCGAACAGGAGGTTGATGCTTTGTATGAAAATGCGCCAGCTACGGTTGCTCGTGGAATTCACTCCACGGAACTGCGCAACACTTTCAACGTAATTGACGTGCGTTTCCATGTTTGACAAGGGCGGGGGGCATTCTGCTCTTTCGCTACTTCCGATTATCTGTCAGGCCATTAAAAAAAAGAGGTTTTTGATGTTCTGTCAAGCCGTGAAGTGATACCAGTTGAAATTTATAGTAACTTCTTGTGTCAGCTCTTGTAAAGGAAAATCTGTCAACTCTTGTAACGCAATAAATAGACATTGGGAAGTAGCGAAAGTGCTAAATGCCCCTCCCCCTCCCCCAAGCCGGACTGCGCCAAAATCCCAGTTAATGTTTAAGATTACAGGATGACTTCTCGGCTCTGCAAAAGCACTGCTCCGAGTTGATACAGTTCCAGAACAAAATCGCAGGACTTGGCAGCGAACACGCGGAAAATTTACGGTAAGAGGCTCCCCACTGTGTGGATTTTCCTTGAGAAGCTTAACAACCAAGCTTGAAGACTGAGCAATAACATTTAGACGAGTTGAAGACTGGTTCTCAAAAATCGAGAGGGATCTCGACGAAGTTGAACGTGGACCTGACGCGGACGTCGAAAAGAAACTTGTCATTCTAGAAGGGCTCAATCAAGAGGTAACTTATAGGTGCCCGTTAGCTGAAGGCTTTTTAATAAGGGGTTACGTGCAGGTAGTCAATGGAAACGTGCATATAGACCACGCTGACCAGGCGTCTCGACGGCTCCTTGGCGCGCTTGATGGTCTGAGTGCTCATCCTGATGCGTCCAAAAGGCATGAAGCGGAGTCAGAAGAACGGCGCAGACGGTACGATATTCAGCCTCAAGGCTGTATTATAGAGTGCAGAACTTAATTGGTTTAGAATATTTCAACTAAATTTTAATATTTCAGGCATTCAAAACTAGTTGACCGCATGCAGCAGGCATTCAATCAAGCAACCGCCCAAAAAGCTGCCAACGAAGGTGTTCGTGACGCAGTTCACGATTTATGTTCCTGGATAGAAGACTTTGAAAGCCGTTCTTGTACGAATCGGGATATCCCATTAATTGAGGAAGAACTGAACCAATTGGTTCGTTTCAATCTACGTGCTTTCTTGCAGTCTGCCAAATCATCACCTTGCAGTTTTTAAAATAGTATTAATGTCTCATTTTGAATTACGAAGTGCTTCAGGAGATAGTCTTTTTTCTAGAAACAATAAATATTTGGAGTGATAGATGTTCTTTCAGAAGCGTGACGAGCAAATGCTGCGAATGGACCTTGACAGTCGGTTGTCGCTCACTAACGATCTCGAAAATGACTTGAAAAAGCTAGCTGGCAGTAATCCGCCGGAATGGGTGGAGGCTACCGAGCAAAAACTAAAGGATGCTGCTCTACGTTTGCAACGTAATAGCACCGAACTCAGGGTATGAAGCTTTGCTTCAGATTAGATACGTACCCACGTGGTAGTCTACTGATCCGTTCATTTAGGGATTCCGTGACAATGTGAATGATGCCCTTGAAGGAGTGATTGCATTGGATGCATTTGGAGTAGCTCTGGACCGTTCTTGTGATGCGACGTCAGCGATTCTACGATCGATGAGCGCTCGTGATGACCAAGGGCTAAACGAAATCGCTTCTGAACTCGCCGCTCTAGACTCTCAGTTAACGGATATGATGAGAACTGCTGAAACCATCAAGAAAATACCGAACGTAACCAAAACACAAGCAGTGGACCAACTGGTGAGGAATTCTCTTTCAGGTCCTTTATCCCTCGGGGATGGGGGTGGGGGTGGGGACATTCTGTTGTGATTCTGTTCAACCTGCCCGGGCAATGATGCTAACGATGCGATAAGAAGCATGACACCATTCTCTTTGGGTAGCAGGCAAGGAGCGGCTTAACACCAGATTCGGCGCTGACCAACACCTGTAGAATACGCCACGCGCTTGGCTCTTCATTATTTATCCCAAAATCGTCCAAGTGCCTTAGAAAGACTTTCTGGGTTGCAAATCGCTTCTATTACGAAGCGGACGCCTTTGAAGGGAAAAGGAAAGGTGGAGTCGTGATATGACGGGATGAAGCTCGTATGATTCGCAGTATATTAATGCCGGATATGTCGATAGAAGTCCCCAGAAATACCCCCCCCTCCCATCCCTACCGTCAAGGTACTTGCGCCCGATTTCGATATGTTGCGGGCATTCCAAGAGCGTTCTTATTGAGATTCCAGATCCGAAATGCTGATGAGAAGTTGCATGTCCTTAATAAGGAATTGACTGCTAAGTATTCGACACAGGAAGAAGTTGGTCGTTTGGAAAGCGATTTTGAAAATGCGAAACAGAGGTAACAGACGTTTCAACCCTAAGTAGGATCTGGGAACTTCATATACTTATCTCCTATGTTTACTTTTTATACAGAATGGCCGACTGGATCAGTCAGTTTGACGCTGAGCTTTTGGAGCTGAAACCTGTTTCCATCGATCATGATAAACTTAGTGAACAACGTAAAGATCAGCTTGCTCTAGTCGAGAAACATAAAGAAGGTAAACTCAGAGTCTCCTGGAGTTGAAGCTCTCGAATACTTACAGCTACCATTTAAGGTCTCAACCTACTAGAGGATTTGGAAGCGGTCTCAATGCGTTTGACTGAAGCAGAACGTGAAACTGGTAGCAATAGACTGAGCGTAACCCCTCGTATCACTATGGAGCTTGTGGCAAAGTGGGGAGAACTTGAGAGGTTGAAATTGATTAACTGCTAGTATTAAAAGTTTTTCTCCTAGGTACAATGCCCAAGCAGAAGCGCTGCGATCTCGTTTGGAAAGAATAAATGCTGCAGATCAGAAGGCGATTGAACTGCAAACCACAGAGAATGAGCTATCTGCTTGGATATCATCGCAAATGAAATCCCTGGTGTGTTTCTGTTTCTACTTCGGGGCTTCCGATTTTGGATCTAGTGGATCAGGTCCGACGGTTTAAGAGCCTAGTTCACGGTAGTCGGTTGGGCGGTGTTGGACCTACCACTGCGTTTCCAATGCCCCTCTTTTTCACCTCCTGACAGAGGTGTGTGCTTCAATAAGGAACGCACAGGGGCAGTCTATATGATCGGCGTGGATTTATGCGTTAAAGTGAGCACAGACTACCCAACAAAAGCGCAGCATTGACTAGGAAGGAGCAACATCGATACATGGTTTTTCAGTCGGAACACGATGTGCCGACATCAATCGACTCAGTGAATGCACTACTGGCTGCTTTGGACCGTATGTCAAAAGCGAAAAGGCAAGAGCAACGACGACTTGATGATGTAGGTTCTTCTTTTCTGATAACAAATGATCTCTTATGTGGTAGATTCGCCATTAACCGATATTGGCTGTTAATTTGATGCTGTAAAATTCTTTTACGCAGCGGGTGCGGTCGAGCTGGGGAGGGGGGGGGGTGAACATTTTGCTAGATCCCATCGATCACTGCCGATCTTTATTGTGAAGACGTGTAAATTCCTGTAAAGCTATGCAACAATGAGCTTCCTTTTCACTGAACAGGTGTCTGTAGGCTTTACCAAGTTGATAGGTGTAACTCAACAGGATCCAACAAAAGAAACTAGCAGAAGAACAAAATACCTCCCCTCCACCCAGCTTAGCAAGCGCCGCGAAATATTGGTACCATATTTTCTGGGATATAGGGCACACCTTCGTCTCGAAGGCCGCGAATGCTTCCTGTGGCTTGTATTTTGTTTCTGTGTTTTTTCTTTGTTGTCATGGCGAACTTCGACGGCGACGAGGCGGGGGGGGAGTGCATTTTGCCTCTATAATGCTTCACTAGGTCTCATTATGAACGTATAAGAGGTGAAACTTGTGTTTGAATACTTGTGAAGCTAGAGCAAGCTCGTCGAGCTGTACCATAGTAACTGGAGGGAAGTGAGCGATGGGAAGGAACGTATAAAATGCCCCCTCTCCCCCATCTCCGTCGCTGAACTGTGACGTTCTTACTTATGTGAATGATATACATATATTTAACAAGAAATGTTTGAAAAGCAATCGAAAGAAAAAAAGCTGACGCTGTCGCTGTCGCGTCCGCTGTGATACCAATAGGGAGTGTTTAGCCGCAAAGTCCACGGGGTTAACGCGACAGCGCGCATTAGCTCCGTGGACCTTACGGCTAAATACGCCCCATATATCTTCTAAAATACTGTACTATCTGTAAATGGTATGTATTCCCAAGACGACTGGCTAACCGTGCTTTCTTGACTTTACCTCAAGCGGCCAATGTAACATAGCTGGAACCCACAGTAATAACAGTCAGGATGCATTTTAAGATTCGTTTGCGTGGTCGCGAACTGGCAGCCGATGCACGATTGGCAGGAGAGGGTGAGCAGTTGCTTGAGCGCCATCGGGCCCTTTCGGAGAAATGGGACCAACTAACGGACCTCATGGAAGGTGCGTATCAAAAGAATTTTCATGTTGCCGCTCAACTTCTTTTCCACTCCTTTTTTCCTCATCTGCTTCCTGTTTAAGCCGCCCGAGAACGTGCTTCTGTTGCCGAAAAATGGATTGAAGGACATGCTGCTCTAGAAAAATGGCTGGGTGCAAAACGTCGAATGCTCCTGGCTATAGGAGCTCCTACGACGGATGCTGCCATTGCAAGGACACAAATGGGACAGATTCAGGTGGGAAAATGTTTATGCGACTATGCAAAGGTATAGAGATGATCTTTGCAGTTGATTAACGCCGAAATGGATGGAGAACGAGCCAGTTACAAGAAACTGAAGGCTATGCTAGAATCACTGCCTGAATCATCATCAAATGGCGGTCTTGCAGCCCTGGTGAGCTTTTGCCGATCAAGCGATGATCACCGCTTCTCTAGAAGAAAGGCTTCGGTTTTCAGATGAACGAGTTGAGTTCTGGACTGGCGTCATTTGAGAAAGAACTCGCCGACAAAGAGCGCAACGTTCAGCGAGCCTCGGATTTAGGATCTGAAATCAAATCCATGCAGAAAGCAGTCATGTCCGTCGATTTTCTTTTTTGTTGTTTTGAAAAAAGGGCCGTTCTCAGCGCTGAGCTGATTTTCCGTTTCAGGAATGATGTTGCTGTACTGGAATCTGATATCGAAAAATTTGGAGCATTACTGCCATCAGAAGTTGAGGCTCGACTTAGTGTAAGGATTTAGTAGTCTGAGTTCTTGAATTTTCCACGCTGGTAAATGCAGTGACCACGATGGCTGAGGGCGGGCGATTGCTGCCAGTGTCATTGGTGGAAGGGCTGCGAGAGGCATTTGGCCACACCCCATTCAGCCCTTCCACCAATGACGTTGGCAGCAACCGCCGCCCCCAGCCATCGTGCCCATTGCCTGCCTTTGAGGATACCGTCCGCGACAGTCGTATGAGTGGAGTCGGACCTACCACTGTGCTTCGGACCTCTTTAGCGCACCCTTCCTTTTTCATGTAGTAAAGAGGATGGGCACCCAGTGAGTAAGGCATAGTAGAAACTCTGACTATGAATGTGCCCTAGAAGAAAAGAATTTGGAAGCTGTAGCCTTGCTCGGGGCTGAGGCTCTTCGTGCAAAAGAGAGAGCGATAATTTATGCCTAAGCCTAAGAGGGGAGGGAGTGCTCCAAGGTGGGTGAACCAACTTCTCCGTGTAAAGAAGGGATTCCCGCTACAGTAGCCCCAATTTTGCCCAGGGAGTCTTTCGATGTGCCCTCCTCTAAAAAAGAAAATCGACAAATTTTATACAAAGTAATTTAGGAATTGTCTGCTTTGAAATCGCAGCTGGTGGATTTATCCGAGCAGGTCGATCACATGTCCCATTTGGTCGAACCATCAAATGATTTGGAAATAGACCCAATGAACAAGGGCGATTTAGATGAACAGATGAGCAATATGAAGAAGAAAATTGATGAGGTATGTCTGTATTCTATTATTTAGGCTGCGTTCATAGTTCGAGATTTGAGCAGTTCAGTCGCGCGATTACGACTGACCACGCTCCAGTGCTAATCATTGGCCGCTTCAGCTGCCACTTAGTTATGGTCGGGGGATACATTTTATTTTGGATTTTGCAGCGCTCCAAAGAATAGCGGTGGAGCGCGGCTGAATTAATCGAGTGCGAAGTGTGAACGCGACTTCACCTACGGCTTGGAGGGGTTATCTGAACAAAATGGTGTGATTTACAGATGAGTCGGAAGCTCGACCAGTTGAAGAACATTGCCTTGTCGTCTCGAAGTGAAGGCGATGAGATCGAGAAGAAGCTCGAGGTTCTGTTAGACGTGGCTCGTGAAGCAAGATCTGAGATTGAGGAGGTAATGGATAATCTTTCAATTGCGGCCAGGGTCCAGTATCGTTATACGGCATCCCCTCAGGGGCGTATTCGGGCGCAGGTGCGGGGGGGGGTGGTATTTGGCCTAGAGAGAAAACACACTCGACTACAGGTTTTTTACGGTTCACGCCCTAACCTACTAGCTGGTACAGTGAGCCTATTTTTGATTTGGCCGCAGGGGACTATCTGCCGTTCCTCCCCCGCCTGGCAACATCATGGAGAAAGTCTGAAAGGGGCCCGTGTGCCGAAGGAGAAAACTTACACTTGGGGGGGGTGTGGTACTACACCATCATTTTCCCCATCCTGGTGCTTCGCGGTGGTTGTGGAATCAGGGCGCGTCTTGCGGTTGGGGGAAAATTTTCGCAAAAGACCCCTTTGAAATCTCCTCCATTGGTGCGACCCCCTACGGAATTTCTTCCTCTGCTGCGACCCTGTCCCCATCCCCAAACTCAGTCCGCTACAATCTTTCTCCTATTTTTCTATCACCTTTTCGCGGTCAAGTCCGAAAATCCCTACGCTTTTTCCGTTAAAAAAACTGCCGTGGTGGGGGGGGGGGTGGGGTGTATAGAGCACGCTTATAATAGGAAAAACTGGGAAAAGTCGTCAACTGAAAAGTTTCTTCTCAAAGGCTTCTCGTTAGAGATCCCAGCGTGCAATGAGTATTCAGGCCCCACCGATATCTGCTGAGCGAAACAGGCTTCAAGAGCATATGGATTCGATCAACGCCTTATTGGTGAAAGTCAATGATCTTGAAGGAGATTTCCCCTATGTCAGGTGAGGGATTACAACTCCCGTTTGTTGAGTTACTGGTAGAACAAAGTTGAGTTGTTACAGAGCAATGGTGACAGAGCGTTTGAAGAAGGTGCCTGATGACGATCTACAAATGAAAATGCAATATCTAGCAAGTAATTGGAATCCCACTGTCACAAATGTCAAGGACAAAAAAGCTATGATAGCCAAAGTGAGTGCATTTGAAAATACGTTGCTTTAGGAGGGGTTGGGGTCATTATCACAAAGTTGTTCGCCTAGGTACTTGACCTTGTCAAGCAGTTCGAAGTTCTGGAAAATTCACTCCGCAATGGACTCACTCAGGATGAGAATGAGGTATTCTTCAGATCAATGTTCGTGCAAGAGGCTAA